AATGCAGAATATCTTTTTCTTTTCAATTATGACGTCATTATACTTAGCCAAGTTGATTACTTAATCAATTTCTTAAAAACATCGCCCGTATGTAAATTGCAAATAGACATCTAACTGAAATACCTCATAATATAGATAAAGTGAGTATCTATCTCACGGATCCACTACACGTAGTCCGGACAATAATCCTGATACATTAATACAACTCCAACATAAAACAAGATATAATCAAGTCTATGTGGCATGGACAATCCCCATGCTCACCAAATCAACAGCATAACCAACAGAGTCTCATCAGAGAAATCCATAAACTGAAGCTAAAAGCATAAGACAGTAAATAAGATCCACATCCAATCATAACAGCATATCAGCATAAGCAGCATAAACATGTAACATCTATCAGCTAAGCTCTGATCTCCTGCCACTAGAGGTCTCAAGCCCCGCATTACCTGAACCTAAAATAAGCATTCCCCAAACGTGGGGTGAGATCTCTAAACCAGAAATCTCAGTAAGACAAGGGGTCCTTAAGGATCTTCCACCCCAAGCTCACTTACATGTGCAATATAAGTTCAAAAGCAGTAATTTCCAATATAAGTTCCAAAACTATGCAGTGCAATAGATATTCATGCCATGTGTGTCAATACTATTCTACTGGCCAGAGAAATGCAGGAATACGTCTATTACCTACAGATAGTACAAGGAACACCATTTGCACCTCACCCACAGCCTCACCATATTGTATGTACTACATACTCAGGCTTACCGTATAGGTGAAACACCACATGCATATCATAAATGCACTAGCATATAACAGCTCAATAGCATTTCCAAAACATCAAAAGCATGTAACTAGCATGCATATAACCATACCCCCATGGAACATGGTGGAACCACAACATGGCTAAACCGAGGACACGAGAGCTTACCTTGCAAGCTAGCTATCCAATGCCAAGAGTTCACACAAGCTCAAGGCCCACAAGCAGCATAATCACAATATGCCTATACCATAATTAATCATCAATAATCATAGTTCAGATTCCACTAAGTGATTAAGGTTTTCTTACTCATTTTAACTCATTTCATGCTGTTTCTGCAGGAGGTATTCGAATACTCCACGAGTAGTATTCGAATACTCCATCTCTCCAAAAAGTATTCGATTACTTTCATTTAAGTATTCGAATACTACCAAGTATCCGAATACTTTCCCCCCCAGTATCCGAATACCACAGTATCCGAATATCAAACCTCACTGTATTCGAATACTTTCCAGTATTCGAATACTTCTTCAAAGGTATCCGAATACTTTTCTTCCCAGAAAAGTATTCTAATACTCCTGCCATGAGTATTCGACTACCAGATTAAAACTACCATTGCAAATCTTTACCAAATACTCTAAGATTTTACTATGTTAAACTAGACATCTCAAGCTTTCCAACGACATATCTTATGCCTCAATCGGAATTTCCAGCAATAGGGTCTCGACTTCAAACATACACTTAGAGAATTCAACTTATCCAATGGATCTGAAAATTTACAGGGTTGTAGCCCTAAGTGTTAGCTTCACATAGGTCCAAACCTCACTCAATTTAGAGCTCTAAAGCTCGAGATATCGCAATTTTACTAAACTAGGTCGCTGCTGTCTCGCGAAGTATTCGATTTCTGCCTTTTTCCAGGAAGTATTCGAATACTGCCCGAAAAGTATTTGAATACTTCTTCGAAGGAATGCAGAAAACTGAGTTTTAAAGGTAAAATCGACCTCCAATAATCCAAACTTGATCTGGAGTCCAAGAACTCTTTAAACAGATGTTTATTAACATGTTATGAACCCAGAAACACCTTCCTTTTATCAAATGGTTCAAGTTACGATTTTTAATTGCTTAAACAAGCTTAAAACATCACAATACACAAGGGTGATCATGGTATACCTTCCAATGCACCAAAACTCCGAAAATGAGGTAACTTGGAGCTCCAAACTCAGCTCCAAGGTTCTGACTTATTTCAAAAACGAAAGTGGCACACCAAGCTTGGTCCTTTAAGCCAAAAGATCACTTCTTGGCACCACAAATGACATAAACAAAGGTTTAACCCTCACAACTCAGAATCACAGCTCCTTAAGCCCCACAAATGCTGAACCTAAACTCAGAAAGAGGTTCCCTACTCACCACCAAGGCCAGCCCTTACTCACTCAAGTGTTTGGGAGAAGATTCAATGAAGAACAAGGAAGAAAAGGCCACTTGGCTCACAAGGTGCAAGGTGACCAGTAATGGAACAGTACCAAAGGGCTGATCAGCCTCCAAAGGTCACGTAGGAATAGAATAACCTAGGTTTTTGAGCCCAAAAGTCATATATATAGCTCACTTAACCTCAAACACACAGTATTAGTAAAAATAGCTACGCTTAGCATTTTAATCCCAAACTTAGGATTCTGAACCTACTCAATTTTACAAGATTTATCATATTTTTCTTATATTTTTTGGAGTACCTTTCCGGTACGCGCTTTTCATAGCCAGTATCAGTTTCTGGCACCAGTTCTCATTATTTTAACTTGAAACTCGTTTTACAAGTCCTATATATTATTCTAGGAATTATCATGAACTTATTATAATTTTTCGGGATACTTTCTCGGTACGCTTTTATACCGACTAGCAGAACCGGTATCCGCGCTTTTCGTCCGAAAAGCGACTTTCAACATTATTACTCACTTACTATAATTATTAGAGCCTCATGATAATTATTAGGGTCAATTATGGAATTATCTCATAATTATCTAATTAATTTCTTTAATTAGCGGTGCGGATTCTTACAGTTAGCATTGTTAGTGATCGGGACCCGAAATTTACTTCTCGTTTTTGGTTCCATGACATGACCGATTCCATATGAAAATCGAATCGGTTATATGACCGGTTCATCGATTTCCTGATCGATCCAGTTTTTATAACATAACTACTTATTAATTATAAATTTTTTAATTTTACATTTATATATATATATATATATATATATATATATATATATATTATGTGTATTTAATTGAAGTAGAGTGAATCTGCTTTAATAACTTTGCCTATATTTTCTTCATTTTAGAACAAACAAAACACTTCTCCATCTTAGTAAAAAAAAAAAACACTACTCTACATGTGAGAAGAGATTTAAATATCTTCATCTTTAACCCATCCAGCACTCCGAATTAGTTCCATAACAGATTCAAAGAGTCAAAGTTTATGGGAATATTGGGAGAGTTAACTAGCCGAAAAGAAAAAGTTAGGTTTGGATTAACTTAAAAAAAAGCCCCCTATGAATCCTCAAACTAACAAATTAAGGCTTTTTGACCCTTTTGTCCTTATTAATTAAAAAATAATCACATTTCCCCTATTCCAAAACTATACACCAATCTATCCCTATTTAATCGATTACAAAAAACACTTAATCGATTAAGTGTGGAAAAAATATTGTAATCAACTAATAAATTTCTTTAATCGATTAAGTGTCGGTGACTTTGGCACCAAAATTGAAATTCCCCAAACTTAAGGAACAACAACCTTTCCTCAGTCACAACCACCACGAAAACCATTACTCTTTTGCCTGAATCACCGGTCATCTCTGCCTCAAACAAACACCACCAAAACACCAAAACCCATAAAAGTTGCAACTCAATCCTTTAGCTTTCTTAACTCTGCACTTTGATCTTTCTATAAGGTTTTCAGTGTTTCTGTAACAGAAATGGTCAAGCACAAGGCATGAGACCAGATTTGTGCAGATTTACCCTAAAGTTAATCATGCTCCAAACAACTAGTTTTCTTCCTTCCCTATCACCTAAGACCACCATTCTACATTGTTGTTCAAACCCTAAGTTCAACAAGGATAAAAAAAAGATGAGACTAGCATTAGAGATTTGAATCATTGCTTTTATTTTGGTTGAAATAGTTTTTGGTTCCATTTAGGGGGTTTGGTGGCTTGATTTTGGTTCAATGAGATTTGTGGTAGGGGATTGTATACAGGTTTTGTGGCAATGAGATTTGTGGGTTACGTGAAGTTATGGGGCGCCTTGCATGATGGAGGTGCAATTGATTTAAAAAAGGTATAATGATTTATGGGGGTTGTGTTTCAATTTTGTTTATGGTTTCAATTTATATGTAGCTCGATCTCGTTTTTGGTGGTATTTGTTTGAGTCAGAGATGAACGGTTATTCAGGCAAAAGTGTAATGGTTTTCGTGGTGGTTGTGACAGAGGAAAGGTTGTTGTTGCTTGTATTCGGTGCCTATTTGAATCATCTATTTTTAAGGTAGAAGTTATTTATAAACATAAGCTAGGTCAAACAAGTTTTGAGAAAAGCTCTTATAATAAAAAAAAACTCCTTTTTTATAATGAAGAAAAAAGCTAAAAGTTCCTCCTAGGAGTTTTTTTTTGGTAGATCCTAGGAAGAGCTCTTTTTTAAGCTCTTATCTGATTTTCTTGAATTGTGTGTTTTTAAAAAAAATAAAGAGCTATAAAGATAGAGAGAGATAGTTTTCTTGAAATATGTGTTTTTAAGTAACTTTTAAACTAAAATTTTTATGTAATTACCAAACAGCTTTTAGCTTTTTTTTAATCTCTTTTTTTAGCTTTAGCTTATAAGTAGTTTCTAACTTAAAATAAGATGATCTAAACAGGCTCTTGGAAAATTTTAATTTTGGTGCCAAAGTCACCGACTATGTAGCACCGACTCGACACGCGACACGCGACACGTGACACGACACGACACGACACTCCGACGCGTCAATCTTAAAAAAATATGAATTTCGACACGTTCCGACACGTTTTAATATTAAATAATATTTTTAATTTATATAGTGTATATTTCATTTAATATTCAATAGTTTAACAAAAAAATAAAACTAAACTAATAATATCCATCAATTTAAACAAAAAAAATCATTTCCACAATACCATTATATTGATCTAAAGCAAAAATAATAGCATATCCATACGAAAACATAAAACATGGAGATTATAGATTACCTTCATGGAACATTTTCATCTAGAATAACATTTAACTCCATCTCTGGCTCATCAAGTGAAAGAGTAGCAACTTCAAGAATTCCAACATCTTCAAATGTATCAAATGTATCTCCAGCAATGTCCCACATTCTATTATCCCCTTGTGTATATTGTGAAGTCTTTCTTGATAAGAGCCTAAGGTTGCTATGTATATAAACCAAGTCTTCAGCACGTTTTGGAGTCATCTTATTCCTTATTACATAATGCACAAAAGAATAAGAACTCCAATTGCGTTCAGCACAGGATGCAGAAGAAGGCTGTGCAACAAGTCGCAATTCTATCTTTTGAAGCATAGGTGAACAAGCACCATTAAGCACCCACCAAGCTTTGGGCTCCATAGAATATCGATTTTGCATGGCATCATAATCTCTAAAACCTCCACTTATACTAGCAAAGTACACATACTCCAAATTTATTTTATTTCGGTCCTCCAAGTTAGGAAAGTATCTCTTTAAACATTTTTGTCTTTCTTGATTAATCTCTAAATCCTGGTGTGGAGGAACTCGACTAGGATCTTCATTAAGCCATTGTTCACTATAGTATCTGAAAGAAAAAAAGAAAAACAATTAAACAAATTATATCAAATAAGAGAAGTATTCAATTCATTCATAATTAAAAGCTTACTAGGGATTCAAAGCATGTGCCAAAGAATGAAGTGGAGTTGAATGTTTGGTCCAACGATCCACAAGAATGCCATGCACCACCTCATAAAATGTTGAGGTCTCATCCATCCTCTTCAATTCATGAAAGTATATAGCTTTCTTCACTTTTACAATCATGTCATCCCACATATCATAAATCAAATGAAGACAAGGTTTATCAGTGTCACAAATTATGATCATATTATAAATAGGAGCAGTGAAAGCAAGTATATAATCAATTGAATCCCACCAAATATCATCCAAAATCTTATCTTTAACCATTCTTGCCCGTCCTAGATTATCATCTTTATACAAACTCCATTTTTCACTGATTACCATATTTTGGAGACCACATTTTATCAATTTGAACCTCTTTAGCATCACAAACATGGAAGCAAAGCGGGTTTCGGTTATAGAAAACAACTTCAATCCCACAAACTCATTAAACATTGACAGCCTCATAGAATGATTCATTATGAAGTGCTTTATTGCAGAAACATCTCCAACAATATCAGAAATCCAACTACATTCCTCATATGCTATTTGATTATCTCCACATTTTTTCCAGCACAAATATTTTTCACAGCTAAATTCAGTGTGTGTACAACACATGGTGTCCAAGTAATAGATGGAAATTCTTGCTCAATAAGATGCCCTGCTCCCTTACAATTTGCAGCATTATCCGTGATTACTTGAACCACTTTTTCATGTCCAACTTCTTGAATTACTTCTTCTAACAACATCCTAATAAAATGCCTATCCTTAGTCTCTCCTGAACAATCAACTGATTTCAAAAACATAGCTTCACCATCAGATACTGCCATGAAATTAATAAGTGGCCTCCTTTGTGAATCACTCCATCCATCACTCACAATACTAACACCCTTGTCTTTCCACCCAGCTCGAATAGGTACACACAACCTATCAATATTTTCCTTCTCTTTCTGCAAAAGAGTGGTTCGCAAGGAGTTATATCCTGGTGGCAAATAACCTCCAATATTATTATCTGCAGCAAAAGTGAATTCTGCTTGAAAGTATGGGTTCCTTGCTAAAGTGAATGACAATCCTGCTGAATAAAACATCCTAACAATCAAGTGGTTCAATTCTTCTCGCGCCCCAACATTGAATGCCCTCTCAATAGGATTTCTAGATGAACTTTGACCCTCACTTCCACTTCTTCTTTTTTTCGAGTTTGATTCTACGGAAAAACTAGAAGGGGGTAAAGGCACATTTTTAGGTGCATTACTCTTCAATCTCACTAGTTTCTTGTTCTAATTTCTCCATCTCTAGCAAGTCTTTTGTCTCCACAACTAAACATTTTGAAATTCCTTTACCTGCTATTTTAAGCAAATGAGCCCTTATTCTAGTATACGAACTTTTAAAATCCTTTTCACAAATATTGCATTTCCAGGATAGATTCCCTCCTGCTTCCGTTGTGGTGCATACTTTGGTAACATATTTCCATAATGGCTGTTGTAAATAATATTGATTTAGTTATAATTTAGTTTTTATTTAGTCATTTATTGTTGTATTGGGCCAAGCCCTTTGTTGTATTGGGCCAAGCCCATTAGGTTAAAAGTAGGTCAAATATTCTCTATAAATAGATAACCCTTTGTACAGATTATTTACAATTCTATAATATATTAGAATACCCTTTTTCAAGTTGGTATCAGAGCTCTCGATCTGAGGGCTTTGCTTCCGCTCATATTATCTTCTTTTTTAACAAAACCCTAATTTCTTTGCCTCTTGCCGCCATTAGCCGCCATCGGAAAATTTTTCCAGGGACCTTTTGGACCAAGGGGACCATTGTTGACCTTATTTTTCCTCCGATCTATCATTCTACGCAGTGTTCCTCCGCCACAAACGACCGAAACACCTCTGACCGCCTCCAATCAGATATGTCTTCACCGTTTGGACCACTTTCCGGCGATTTTTCAACCACGACCACCCACAGACAGGTGCGCGCTCACCGGACGACCACACCAGAAAAATCTCAGCCGGCGAAGCCCATCCATGCGCCGCCCCTTTCCCGGTGAGTGAATCCCACGCGCATCTCCTTTCTCCGGCGCGTGGAGGCGCGTGCGGCCGTGTTTTTGGACCGGACCACCACCATTCTTCTCGTCTTCTTGTCTTCTGTCTGGATCTGTAATTATTTTTCTGATCAGAGGTCATTTGATATTCTGTTTGGTTGATTTTATCGCTGGTTGTTAACTTTTTTTTGTTAAAGAATGGCCGAGCATGATAGTTCTTCGATCTTATCTGGTAAGAGCACACGTTCTATATCTCTTCTTGCTTCTTGCACTGATTTTAAAACCTCATGGATTTTGGATTCTGGTGCAACTGATCATATGGCTTGTCGTACTGAGTTGTTTTGTTCTTATCATCCTACTGTTGGTAGTCATACTATATCCGTAGCTGATGGATCCCATAAATCAGTTATTGGTTCTGGTAACATTCAGATTCAACCTTCCTTGTTTCTTAAAAATGTTCTTTATGTTCCTCAGCTTTCTACTATCTTATCTCCACTCAAAAACTTACAACTGATTTGAATTGTTCTATCACATTTTTTCCTTCTCATTTTCTTATTCAGGATCTTACCACGAAGAAGACAATTGGAGTTGCTAATGAACAGGATGGGTTGTATCATCTCCTTCCAGACCATGCTAGCAAAAATCAGTTATTAATGACACGTCATCCTTCTACTGCAGAGTCTATGATTTGGCTCTATCACAAGCGTCTTGGGCATCCACCATTTAGTCTTTTGATGTCTATGTTCCCCTCTCTGTTTCTCAATAAGTCGGTTGAGACCTTTCATTGTGATGTTTGTGAATTTGAAAAACACCATCGAGTGTCATTTCCTTCTAGCACTATTAAAAGCAGGGAACCTTTTTCTCTTATCCATTCTGATGTTTGGGGCCCTTCTAAAGTGCACAGTGTTTCAGGTGCTAGGTGATTTGTTTCTTTTATTGACGATTGTACTCGGATAACATGGATATACTTGATGAAAGACAAGTCTGAAGTACCAGAGATATTTATTCGGTTTCATCACATGGTTGAGACTCAGTTTGGTAAGGGTATTAAAAAACTTAGATCTGATAATGGTACTGAGTACGTCAATCAACGCCTGTCACAATTCATTTCAGACAGAGGTATGATTCATGAGCTCACATGTGTTGATACCCCTCAACAAAACAGGGTTGCTGAAAGGAAAAATCGTCACCTTCTTGAAGTTGCTAGAGCACTACTTTTTCAGACATCTGTTCCTAGTTCTTATTGGGGAGAAGCAGTATTAGCTGCAACTTTTTTGATCAACCGTTTACCTTCACGGGTCCTTAACAATATCAGTCATATTCATTCCATGTCTTTCTTCTTTCCTTCTGTTCCCATATTGCAGAGCCTTCCACCAAGAGTGTTTGGATGTGTTTCCTTTGTCCATGTTCATAAACAACATCGGAGTAAGTTGGATCCTAGGGCTCTTAAGTGTGTCTTCCTTGGTTATAACCCTTATAAAAAAGGGTACAAGTGTTATCATCCACCAAGTCGAAATTTTTTTGTTTCTATGGATGTCACCTTTCAAGAATCTGAATCTTATTTCCTGGGTCCTCATCGTCAGGGGGAGAATAGTTCTTCAGAAGACTCGTCCCCTTCCTTCTTTGAGTCTGGATCAATCTTCTCTCTTCCTAGTGTGTCTGCTCCTGGTGTGTCAGAACCTTCAAATACACCTGAGATACAACCCATATTGTCTCACCAGCAACCTCAATCGTCTGAACCACTGGTAAGTCCTGAATCTCCTATTTCTTCTTAGTCTCCTGAATCTCCTGTTTCTGATTCTAATATTATTTCCTCTCATGATTTGTCTATTTCTTCTGATATCTCTAATGACTTACCCATTGCTTCTACTTCTGATGACTTACCTATTGCTCTTAGAAAAGGAAAAAGATCTTGTCACAAGAAAACTTGTTCCTCCTGTCCCTCTTGTACTCAATACCCTATCTCCCACTTTGTTTCCTCTGCTAATCTTTCTGTGCAGCACAAAAGCTTTGTTTCAGCACTAGATTCTATTGCAATCCCAAAATCAGTACATGAAGCCTTGAAAGATAGGAATTGGGCTCAAGCCATGCAAGAGGAGATGAATGCTTTGGAGAAAAATAAAACATGGGAGGTTATTGATAGACCCAACGGAAAGAAAGCAGTAGGGTGCAGATGGGTTTATGCCCTGAAATATAATTCTGATGGCACTCTTGAGAGACATAAGGCTCGATTAGTGGCCAAAGGTTACACTCAAACCTATGGCATTGATTATGAAGAAACCTTTGCTCCAGTTGCAAAGATGAATACAGTGAGAATCTTGTTATCCCTTGCTGCCCATTACAATTGGGATATAAATCAATTTGATGTGAAAAATGCTTTCCTCAATGGTGAGTTAGAAGAAGAAGTCTACATGGAAATCCCGCCTGGTTTTGATTCTGTGAAGGGGGAAAATAAAGTTTGTAGATTAAAAAAGGCCTTGTATGGATTGAAGCAGTCACCTCGTGCTTGGTTTGGAAGATTTACTAAGGTTATGATGACCTTAGGATACAGACAGAGCCAAGGAGATCACACTCTTTTCTTCAAGCACTCCCAAAATGGGAAGCTTACTGTGCTCCTTGTATATGTTGATGATATTATTATCACATGTGATGATTTTGTGGAGAGACAGATTCTGCAAACACGGCTTGCCTCTAGTTTGAAATCAAAGACCTTGGGAAACTGAGATATTTCCTAGGGATAAAAGTAGCTCATTCAAGCAAAGGAATTTTTATCAGCCAGAGGAAATATGTTCTTGATCTTCTCAAAGAAGCAGGAAAGCTCGGGTGTAAACCCTCTAATACTCCTATTGAGCAGAATCACAAGATGGGCTATGAAGAAGAGAGTCCTCCAGTTGATAAAGGACAATATCAACGGCTAGTTGGGAAATTGACATATCTGGCCCATACTAGACCAGACCTAGCTTATGTTGTTAGTGTTGTCAGTCAGTTTATGCACGATCCAAAAGAAAAACACATGCAGGCAGTAGAGAGAATTCTTCAGTATCTTAAAGGTACTCCTGGTAAAGGATTGTTATTCCGACGTGATGGCAATCTATCTTTAGAAGTCTACACATATGCTGATTATGCTGGATCCGTGACTGACCGTCGTTCTACCACTGGTTATTGCATGTTTCTTTGCGGTAACTTGGTGACATGGAGAAGTAAGAAACAAGATGTGGTTGCCAGATCAAGTGCAGAAGCTGAATTTCGAGCTATGGCTCAAGGCATTTGTGAGTTACTGTGGCTGAAAATTGTACTTGATGATCTCAAAATAAAATGTGAGGGACCTATGAAGCTGCTATGTGATAATAAGTCCGCTATTTGTATAGCTCATAATCCAGTTCAACATGATCGGACTAAAAATATTGAGGTTGACCGCCATTTCATCAAAGAGAAACTTGATAGCGGGTTGATTACCACTCCATACATTCCCACTGGGCGTCAATTAGCTGATCTATTAACAAAGGGGCTTCCTTCAGACAGATTTCAAGAACTTACTAGCAAGCTGGGAATGATAAATATCTATTCCTCAGCTTAAGGGGGAGTGTTGTAAATAATATTGATTTAGTTATTATTTAGTTTTTATTTAGTCATTTATTGTTGTATTGGGCCAAGCCCTTTGTTGTATTGGGCCAAGCCCATTAAGTTAAAAGTAGGTCAAATATTCTCTATAAATAGAGAACCCTTTGTACAGATTATTTACAATTCTATAATATATTAGAACACCCTTTTTCAAGTATGGCTTCCTTAGAAATTCATCATCTCCACTACTTGCAATACTTGAATCCATTCTAAAAAATATAAAATTAAACACTATGAACAAAATAATTACTTATGCAAATATAGGACAATTAAATTAAAATAGTAGCATAAAGAAATTAAATTAAAATAATTCCATTAACAAACCAGTGTAATAGTTTTTTCAAGTCATGTAATATATAATGTTTCAGTGTTAAAGTTGAAAACAAAAAGAGCAGCATGAGCATTTGCATGCACATTCATAACAGCATAAGGCTTTGAGTTTAATTTTATCAATCATAAGTGATATTATCAATCAATTTTCTAGTCCGATGTGGGAAGGGTAGTGCGAGGGAGGTGTATGTGAGGGATGCTTAGAACTTAGAAGAGTCAAGTCAACAGTGTTATTTTATTTTCAACTTGGCGTGACTTATGGATCAATATGGTAGAACCTCATCTTTACCCTCCTGCCTAATTATCAGTCAAATCCCTTTCTTTTAGTGTTAGCACTCTGCTAGTACTCTAGACTTGGTTATTATATCATTAGGAACATTATGACGAATGAAAGGGCCATTGTCAACCCATAACAACATAACAGCATGAGTAGAGGTCAAGCTAGTTATGAATTTCTGTATTTCATCATTTCACGCGAGCTTACCAGTTAGAAATTGTGAAAGATTTGGGTAATAATCCCATATAATTTTCAACATTAATTTTAAATGTTTGATTTTATTGATTCGTACAAGAATTGAAGAAAGTGAAGGAAATAATAGACATATATATGGTTAGATATAGACGAAAAGAAATTCATACAGGCCAGTAAATCAAAAGAGAGAAAGAAAAAATAAACCAGAATATAACCAAAAAAAAAAACAAGAAATTTAAAACCAAAAAAAATCACAAAATAAACCAATAAACCAGTAAAACAAAACAAATAGAACCAGAATATAACCAAAAAAATATATTTCAAACCAGTCTTCTTGAAGAGACCAGGAGACCACAGGCCAGCGACTCACGAGAGAGGGAAATAGACCACAGTCCACAGCGACTCAGTGAGAGCGAGAGAGGGAAAGAGACCAGTGACCTGACCACAGTGACACCGAGAGAGAAAAAGGAGAGGAGAGACTCAGAGACCAGACTCAGAGAGAAAGAGGGAGGAGAGACGAAAGAGGCGATGCGTTTTTTATGAGTGCAGAGACATTAGAGAACTTTAGCATGGTTTGCGTTTTAGGTTTAGGATTATGTTTTTATAAAATTTTATTTCTTTTTTAATAATATTTAATTTTATTAATATATTTAATTTTTCTAAAATATATATATTTTTTTAAAAATTGTTTTTTATGAAAATGCCATTTGACCCTGTCGGACACGGTCAAATTCGCGTGTCGGAATGGTCAACGTGTCGAAAAAAGTTGACTGCGTGTCTGACACCGTGTCGGACCCGACTCTCCCTGTTTTTACAAGTGTCGGTCACCGATACTAAACAATTAAAAAATTTATTAATCAATTATAATATTTTTCTGCACTTAATCCATTAAGTGTTTTTTATAATCTGTTAAATAGTGATGGTGTATAATTGTTATTTTTTAATTAATAACGAACAAAAGGGTAAATAAAAAACCAACAAATCAGGTCATTCACAAATTAAAACGCGGGTACCCTAGAGCCAAACCTAAAAAAAAAAAAGCTTTAACTCTCCACACAACAAGAAGTTTGTAAAACCCTCGTTTGGCATTGTGATAGCATCACAGAGAAAATGGCAATGTACGATCTAACCCCACGAATGGCACCGAACATGGACAGGCATTTGGTGTTTCCTCTTCTTGAGTTCCTTCATATGAGGCAGTTATACAACGACGACCACATCCTTAAAGCGAAGATCGAACTCCTCAACAACACCAACATGTGGTTGATTAAGCAATGGACATTCACAAGAGTCTCTACCACACCGAAGATGTTCCTCAAAACATGATCGATCGGAGGGCTGAGGTTGTCGCTCACCTTAAGTCCCTTGAAGACGCCGCCGCACCCCTCGTCGTATTCCTCCAGAACGCCGCCGCCGTCCAGGAATTGAGAGCTGACAAGCAGTATAATCTTCACATGCTCAATGACAGATACCAGGTTTATATTAATTTATTATTATTATTATTATTATTTTAAATTCCAGCATGTGTTGAAGCCTTAGTGACTCCACTAAGCCGGTTTTGAGTGTAAAGTTTTTCCATATTTTCCTAAGAATTATACTCTCATGAATTTAATCCATTATCCTTTGGGTAGGATAGATCGTGGAGTAGGTCAAATCCTAGGATCTAGCTGGAAAACTACTATACCAACAATTCTTTGGGTTAGGTTTATTATAATTTTTTTAAACAACATTGGATCAACAACTCTTGGGTTAGGTTTATTATAATTTTTCTAAATACTGTGTCCGAAGCCTTATTGACCCCACTAATTCGTTTCAGATTTGAGACTCTCCACCATTTCCAAGAATTTTGAATATCATGAATCAAATAGAAAAGGTCAAATCCTGAAATCTAACCGTGACGTCGGTAGAGCAACGACGTAATTTTAGGGTAGCCGTATATAAACTTATTTCAAGCTGCTTGAGAAATGTTTATATATATATATATATATATATATGTATATATATATATATATATTACTTAAGTTTTTGAATAGCATTTTTATTTTTCTAATTGTTTTTGTTGGGTTATGGTATGTTAGGATTGGAATATTCAGAATGGTAACATAGCAACAAGATTAAGGGGCAGTCTGATAAAATTTTAAAACCTAATTGATTGTTCAAAATTCAGTTAGTATAATATGAAAAAGCAATTCAAGTGACAGTATGAATCTCTGAATTTTGTTATTAATAGCTCGCACCCCTTTATTATCTCAACTTTATGCATAACGCAAAGGATATTATAAGAAATTTTACTTTATTCTACTAGGAGATATCTCAAAAAATTTTAGCACTAAGCATTGGTCATCAAACAGCTACAATACCAAAAAATAAAAAAATAAAAATGGACTTGTGATCTAACAACTTGTGCTGTACTGATCTTTTGTGATGTCTCGTCTCTCAATATGCATCAAAAGCAACATAGCAAAAAAGTTTAAGGGGAAGTCTAACAAAAATTGTACCTTTTATGATTATTCAAATGATATTCGTATTGAATAAAATGCAACTCAAGTGACAGGACCAATCTCTTAATTTTGTTACTAAAGAGAAAAAAGACTAATAGCTCCTAACCTTTTATTATCAGCTTTATGCATAACACAAAGGATATTATAATAAAATTTACTTATCTCAAAATTTTAGCCTTGTGCATTGGTCATTAAAATGCAACCCAAGTTTTTTTTTTTTTTAAATTGATATTGGTATGTTTAGACTGCCAGGAGACACAAAGTTATTGACTTGGGACCTTTGGGCCATTTAAATCTTCTTTGTTTGTGATAAAATCCCACTTTAAACTGAGACAGTATCATAGTAATATCCATACATTGTTTCTTAAAAGTTTGTCTTTGTTGTTTTTTATTTTTGTAATGTTTGGTCCTCCACAAATAGAGGCATTATACCAATATGCGAAATTTCAATTTTGAGTGTGGGAACTACTCCGGTGCTGCTGACTATCTTTATCAATGTAGGGCTTTATGCACAAATAGTGAAAGGAGTCTGAGTGCATTGTGGGGAAAGCTGGCAGCTGAAATATTGATGCAAAACTGGGACATTGCTCTTGAAGAGCTCAATCGTTTGAAAGAAATCATTGACTCAAAGGTTGTTTCTCAGTTGATCTTTTGAATAGCAGCACGTACCTGTTGGTAATGCTCATATTAATATAGACTCACTGGAGGTGAACTTTGTTGCAGAATTTTGCATCACCTTTGAATCAGGTGCACAGCAGAATATGGTTGATGCATTGGAGTCTGTTTATCTTTTTCAACCATGACAATGGAAGAACACAGATAATTGATCTGTTTAATCAGGAGAAGAAAGCCTTGATGAAATTACCTCTTATTATAGTATATTGTAGCTTTAGCTTGGTGAATATCCTCGGCCCTTTTACTCACAACAGGCAATGTATTGGTATCTTGACTTGTACCTCGTGAACGGGTTGGCATGTTGTTCTCCACTTCCAGACAAGAAAGCTCATTTGTTGCAGCAAAATTAATCATCCGATGAGTATCTGAATCATCAGTATAGTATTCAAATTCCATACGTGCAGGATTAACAATTATTCTCTCTTCGGCTTCCGTGGATACTCATGGATTATGAAATAGATCATTATGGGGCTGAGGATACTCTTCAAGCTAGTCAAAAGACCATCACTCTACCAGATCAAATTCATGTTGATCATGGGGTGGCTAGATCTCTCAATGAGGATACAATTATAGATTCTTCACACATGGAAGTACTGCCAGATTTAGGGACTAGACTAATGGAGGAATTGGACATGCAATCAACTTACCCTCGATCATATCCGGTCAGACCTGAATTATTTGATGACTTGGATCCTGAGGCTAAAAAGCATTATTCTAAATACATAGAGGATAGTGATACTGAGTTAAACCAATACTGTGACCAAACTATGAATGTTAATGATTTGAATCCTGGAACTCATCAAGATAGGGTCTCCTCAAATAGAGTTTCTATGCCTGATTCTTCAATGGAGGAGGTTCATGTAATTAGTCAAGTTCATGTAATTAGTCCACAAATTCAGCAGCTGTGGGGAGGAAGGAACAGAAAGCCCATCTTTGATACGTGCGTATTGTTAAGAGACCAAACGCCTTCGGGAGATGGCTAAGAATTGTGATGATATAATGCAAAGGAAAAGGAAGATTTGAGGAGACCCTATCTTGATGAGTTCCAGGATTCAAATCATTAACATTCATAGTTTGGTCACAGTATTGGTTTAACTTAGTATCACTATCCTTCCTCCCCACAACTGCTGAATTTGTGGACTAATTACATGAACCTCCTCCATTGAAGAATCAGGCACTGAAACTCTATTTGAGGAGACCCTATCTTGATCAGTTCCAGGATTCAAATCATTAACATTCATAGTTTGGTCACAGTATTGGTTTAACTCAGTATCACTATCTGCACGTATGGAATTTGAAGACTATATTGATGATTCAAATACTATTACTATACAATGATGGTTATGCAAAAAATGGAGTCTGAACCTTTTGCGGCACATCTAAGGAGTATTTTTTTATGGAATAATTATGGGTTATATTTATCTCATTTTACATAAAGAAGTCAAGTTCCCACACACACAAAATAGAGGTGAGTACCATCTGTAATTTTTTTTTCCCTCTCCTTTTGTCTGTGGGTTCTGCTTGTAATATTGTCTATCTCTCATAAGATAATTCTTCTCATGTATCCTGATAAAATGATTTCCCAATAATTATTGCAGTAACATTTTTCATTTTAGTGTGAGAATCTTTTTATAACATGAGATTAGATATGGTTATTGTATATCTTTGATCGTTAGTTTTCGGTGCAATTCTAGTGGCAGTAGAACTTTTCTTACTGTAAGAACTTTTCTTCCAAAAAAGAACTTTTCTTCTCATGTTACTAACACAACTTCTTACTGTACCAAGCTAGTTTTATATTTTTGAATTTAAATATTATAAATTGAGGGTTATACTTGAGAAACATGCAAAATTAATAATGAGAAAATTTAAAGGTAGAACTTGGGAATTGTTAAGAAAGTTTATGACTACTCAAGTAATACCAAATTACGTAAGTTTTAATTTTTTTTTATTGTTAATATAACATCCAACTTATTCTGAGAAATGCATTGGTTTAATAGAGAGACAGGACTACGGCGCGTGTGCATTGCATTGGCTCCTTTAGAATTTTATAAAATACACAGCATATGAATAGCAAATTATAAATATGCAATAATTCAATCAATTTTATCGTTAACATGTCCCATTTGCCATTTACTAACTAAAATGATACTACCTTATCCTGTAAAGAAGGGAATTGCATTAGCACCATAAGGCTCTATTGAATAGCGGGGTATTAAATTTTTTTCTTGAAGAGGGTCAAATCATAAATGTAAATATTTTCTTAGAAGTTATAATTTTTATATAATAAAAAAATAGAAATGGTGCTTACAACTGAGGTGTAAATAGCTGAATCAAGTCAGAATTTAGCTTAAATAAGTCATGTTTGTGTAAAATATTTTGAACTTAACCTGATCTGTTAATCTGATGTAGGTCAAAATTCTAAGTTTGATTTGAACTATATTTAAAAACAAAAGGATTGGTCTAGGTCTGCTTAAGCCTATTATATATTCAAGAATTAAATAAATAATTTCAATAATATTATTTTTTATTCAAAATTATTTAAAAATAATTTTATTTATTTTATTTAAAATAAATAATACGATATAATTCTACTTGTAAGCTTATAGACCGGATCTTGTAAAAAAAAGTTTAAAGCCTATTTTTTAAATAGGCTTTTTTAAAAACCTGAACTTAATCTAATTTATTAGATATAATAAGTCAAGTCTGATCTAATATAGACTGATTCACAAACTCCTGATAAGTCATCAGCCTCATTTACATTTGTAGTTACAACTAAGGTTTCTATAAATTTTGAAGAGGACGGACACTTAGGGCTGTGCATGGGTCAGGTCGGGTCAGGTTTTTGTCCGACTCGACCCAACTTGGTTTTTATAGGTCAGGTATTTTGACCCGACCCGCTTTAATTTGATCCAAGACAGGTCTGACTTGGATTGGATTTTGTTCAACTAGTTCAGAACCAGTTTGGATCTGACCTGACTTGGTTTCTAAAGTGGATCTGACTTGGTTTCTGAACTGGGTCGAATCTGACCTAACCCGTTTTTGACTTGGTTTTCTCACAAAATTTTGTCGAAATTTTTACGTTGTAATAGACGAAAATTTCGTCACAAAATTATTTTTCGTCGAAATTATTACAAAAAAAAAAATTTCTATTGAAATTTAGTTTCCGTCAACAGTTTTGACGAAAATGATTTCTTCCGTTAAATGTTTTAAACGAAAAAAGAATTTTGTCAAAAAATTTGACGGAATGTTTTTCGTTCAAAATTTCGATGGGAATGTGTTCTGGCGAAAATTTTGACAGAAATTATTTCAAGGGAAATGTTTCATTTGAAACTTTCGATGAAATTTAGATTCTTTAAATAATTTTGACAGAATATTTTTTTCCTCAAAATGTATTTTTGTCAAAAAAATTTACAAATTTTTTTTATAGAAATGTGTTTCGTTGAAAATTTTGATGGAAATTTTTTATCAAAAAACTTAAAATATTTAGTTGAAAATTTTTGATAAAAATGTGTTTCGCCAAAAATTTCGACGAAATTTTTTTTTGGTCACAAAATTTAACGAAAATTTTTTCGTCGAAAACTTTCGCCGAAAATTGAAATATGTAAAGAATTTTGATGAATTTTTCTGCCGTCAAAATTTTTTGATGACGAAAATGTTTCCGTCGAAAACTTTCGCCAAAATTTGAAATCTGTAAAGAATTTTGAAGAAATTTTTTGCCGTCAAATTTTTTTGATTATGAAAATATTTCCGTCGAAAACTTTCGCCGAAATTTGAAATCTGTAAAGAATTTTGATGAAATTTTTTGCCGTCGATATTTTTAGCCGTCAAAATTTTTTGACGACGAAAATGTTTCAGTCGAAAACTTTCGCCAAAATTTGAAATCTGTAAAGAATTTTGATGAAATTTTTTGCCGTCAAAAGTTTTTGATGACGAAAATATTTCCGTCGAAAACTTTCGCCGAAATTTGAAATCTGTAAAGAATTTTAATGAAATTTTTTGCCGTCGAAATTTTTTGATGGAAATGTGTTTCGTCGAAATTTTTAATGGAAATTGTTTTGAGGAAAATGTTTCATTTGAAACTTTCGACGAAATTTAGATTCTCTAAAGAATTTAGCCAAAATATTTTTTCTGTCAAAATTTCTTATCGAAATATTTTTGTCAAAAACTTTTACGAATTTTTTTTACAAAAATGTGTTCCGTTGAAAATTTGGATGGATATATTCTTTATCAAAAAACTTGACGAAAATACTTAGTCGAGAATTTTTGATAGAAATGTGTTTCGCTAAAAATTTCAACGAAATTTTTTTTTGTCAGAAAGTTTAACGAACATGTTTCCGTCGAAAACTTTGGCCGAAATTTGAAATCTGTAAAGAATTTTGATGAAATTTTTTTCCGTCAAAGAATTTCGATGAAAATGTGTTTCGTCTTAAAGTTTTTATGAATATATTTTTTTGTGAAATATTTTGACGAAATTTAGATTCCGTAAAAAATTTTACAAAAAAAATATTCCGTCAAATTTTTTTACCAATATGGTTTTAGTCACAAATTTTGATGAAAATATTTTTCGTCACAAAATTTTGCGAAACTTTTTATGAAAATATTTTCCATAAAAAATTTTGACGTAACTGTGTTACGTTAAAACTTTTCTTTAATGTAATTGTGATTTTTTTTTCACATAATGGGTATGGGTCAAGTTTTGGGTCAGTGGGTTAATATTAAAACGAGTCAGGTCTAAAACTGACCCAAATAAAAGTGGGTCAGTATTTAAACCAGTTCAAAAAATATGGGTATTTATGGGTCGGGTCAAGGTCGGATCAAGGACAAGGCAAGTGAACCAGCTTTTTTGCACACCCCTACGAACACTAGATATATGACTAAAAAATTAAAAATAATCCTCACTTTTGAAGATTTATATAAATTTAAAAAGGAGTGAATACCCCCGCTAACCCCTCGCTCGATCCACTATTACCTCTATTGGCTGTAAGAAACTTTATTAAAATTTAGTGAAACAAATTCAGATATTTATGCATAAAATTATATTGAAACTACCTTTTTTTTTTTTAAAGATAAGCCAAACTAACCTTTATAGTCAATTTAGATTCCAGATTACTTATGCATATTTTTCTTGTAATTTTAAATTATTTTTTCTGGAATATTTCTCTTTTAATTAATATTTTCAAAATTTATCTAGATTATTATAAAATGTTCTCCATACTTGCTAGATAATAATATTGATACCATCAATTGTAAAGATGACTAAGTGCAAATGCTTTGGGACGTTATGTTTTTTTTTTTTTTTTTTTTTTTTTTTTTTTTTTTTTTTTTTTTTTGTAATAAAGAGGGGCAAAAGCCCCAAACAAAACAAAAATTACACGACGCGAGAACTTAAAAGATCTACAGAAGCATCCTAAAGAAGGAGCTCTAACAAAGGAGAAGGAGGAGAATGATAAACAATAAGATTATTATCATCCTCAAAATGCCTAGAAGCAAACCAGTGAGCACATCTGTTATTTTCTCGAAAGGTGTGTACCCAACGAACATCCCAATCTTCAGCAAGCCATTTGTGAATACGGAAAACAACCTGAGAGTTTCTGTGATTGTTGCTCCCTTCTTGGATAGTGCTAAGAGCAATTTCTGAGTCACATTCCAACTCCACTCTCCTAGCACCAGTACCCCAGGCCAGCTCTAAGCCTTTGAGGATACCCCAGAGTTCTGCATCAAGAGGATTACAGAAACCTAATCTGAAAGAGAAACCACCCAGAAAAGCACCATTGTGATCTCTAGCAAGGCCTCTACAGCTAGCATGTTGCCTAGATAAGGAAGAAGCACCATCTGTGTTAATCTTCAACCGACCAGGTTCAGGACGACACCATTTAGTAGGCTGATGGGCATTAGGGAAGCTGCCAAGAATGCTTCTATTCTTACCTCTAGCTTCAATTAAATGCGCAATAAAATCAGAAATGACACGCTTATCATTGCTTGGCCTTCGGAAACTATCATCATGAATATGATGATTACGCCAATTCCAAAGATTCCAGCAAGTAGTATAGAAAACATCTCTCCAATCAACATGAATTTGATAATTCCAACCCTTACTCATATTTTTTATGAGCCAAGGCTGTAGGTCTAATGTGAAGAAATCGTTGGGGACCCTTCTACCAAATCAATCTATCCACAATCTTTTGGCTTGAGAACAATCTCTAAGGACATGAATAAGAGTTTATTCACTGTTTGGACAGTTAATGCAAAAATTAGGACCCCCATTCCATTTGCATGTACGACTCCTAACTGGAAGCTTATTAAGAAAAGCCAACCACATCATAGTCTTGATTCTTTCTGGACCCTTCCAGTCCCAAATCTTCTTCCAGGGAACATTCCTTTGAGCATGTTGAAAATTCATCAAGTTCAAGTAGGCAACCTTAACTAAGGAAGAGGACACATGATTCTGACACCAAACTAACCTATCCTCAGTAT